TGCTTTCCAAGTCAGGGCTCCTTCTCCTAGCCTCTTACCACAACCAATTTCTTCTCTAGAATAGTGGGGTTGGTGCCACTTCCACTGAAATCAGTTCCAAAACTTCTGGTTCATCATGATAGCATTAGTAAAAAAATAAAACAAAATAATAAAAAAAGACTGACTAGCTGATAAGATAGATAGGCAAATGACGATGCCCATCTTGAGGAAGTTGTAGATTGCAATGAAGTCACCCCTCAGCCTTCTTTTCTCCAAGCTGAACAAACCAAGTGACCTCAGCTGCTCCTCATAAGTCTTGCCCTCAAGACCTTTTATCATCTTGGTCGCTCTCCTCTGGACACACTCCAATATTTGACGTCCTTCTTACATGGAGGCGCACAAAACTGCACACAGTACTCGAGGTGGGCCTGCACCAGTGCAGTGTAGAGTGGGACAATCATCTCCCTCGACCAGCTAGGTATGCTGTGCTGGATGCACCCTGAGACACTGTTGGTCCTGTTGGCTGTCAGGGCCACTGTTGACTCATATTCAACTTGCCATCAACCCAAATCCCAGATCTCTTTCTGTGGGGCTGCTCCCCAGCCTCTCATCCCCCAATTTGTACATATAACCAGGACTACCCCATTCCAGGTGGAAAATCCAGCACTTGCTCTTGTTAAATGATGCTGATGAGGCTTCCACCCCAGGAGCATGGCCAGGTGCTATGACCTCACAGTAACAGGATCAGTGCAAGAACATAAAATGAGCTTGAAACAAGAACTTCTCCTGCTCTTGTGTTTTTCTTTTCTGAATATGCAATCCCTTGGATTATTTGTTGTTCAGGCACACTAGTGTAGAGCCCCTGATCCACCCAAATGAATCTCACTCTGAAGAGAAAAAGAGGTGCAGAAACAAGACTTCCCTTTTCCACAAGGTGGAAAACGCCCAGGTGGCATACAGTCCGTGTAGCTGTCTTTACATTCCTACACTCACATCATGAGCAAGAAAAAGTTTTGGCCAATTCAGGCATAGTACCTAATGAGAAGGTAGATGAGTCACAACTACATGATCCATCTCAGAAAATCAACTTAGCAGTCAGAAAGGGAGAAGAGGCTTGCAAGCTACTTTATAAAACCCTGTTCATGACATCCATTTGTTTTTTGTCTTGGGCAACTCTCACAGTAAAGTGATACTGCAGAAGAGTTGTTCAGAGTATACCCCGGTACCCACAGTCCTGATAGTGCTGTTGCAGGGTTAAACAGAGCAGCCCTTCCTCCACACTGAGTTTCTGTATTACACAGGTTAGCTCTCAAGTAAGTAGCAGAGCTACAGCATCCCCAATGGCACCATCTTCGCTGATCTCAACAAAACCTACCAGAGATACAGGCTAGAAATTAATTAGAAACTTACTCTAGTGCAAATAATTCTAGAGAAGAAAGCTAAAGTGGGCAAACAAAGTATTTTCATGGCTGTGTCTCTGATAGCACTGGCACAAATTTCAGCTGGGAAAGTATGAGAAGTCTAAATAAATATGTTTATAATACAGCTTGTAAATAAAACTTCAGGAAATATCCACAGTGAGAATTATTTGTTTTTTATAGAGCAAATATTACTTTTTCATAAGAACCATACAAAAATACTTAAATAAAATCCCACAGTCAAGATTGATTTAAATATAACTTTCTAGTAATAAGACATTATTAGATTATGCTTATATTGGCATTTTCTGCACACATGCAGGACTTTGGGATGTGAAAGTATGGTACACAGGGCAAGCACCAGTCACAGACTCTGTGGTTCTAAAAGTAGTGGTAAGAGGGGTGTGTTTGCTTGTGCTTCATTTTTTCAATCATTTTGTAAGATGTCTATGAAATTTTATGAGAAAAAAAGTGAAGAATACATTTCCCAGTGCACCTCTACATAACTAATCTGTGGCCTTTACACATGCTGGCAAATTTCCTATGTATAAAGCTACAGAAACCAAAGGAAATTTTGTTACATAAGAAATAAGGGGCTGGCAAAGCTGGTTTTAAGAGGAAAATGAAATGAAGTGATGCCCAGTGCTACCCAGCAGATGCCAGGGTGCAGGGAAAGCACGGGGAGAACAGCCCATGAGAGCTTCTTTTTCCAAGCAGCGGAGTCACAGTCGGGTTCAGGTTCGAAGGGATCCCTGTAGATCACCTGGTCCTAACCCCTACCCACAGCCAGGCCCCTCTGCAAGTTACAGCCAAACTGCTACAACTACACACTCTTCTGAGCGGGAGAGGCAATTTCCAATGCAAAAGTCATCCACCTCTTGATTGGAAGTAAGTTCAAGGAACATAAAGACATCCTTCTACAAATACAACTACTACTACTTTGCAGAGGCACTGCTCCAAAAGACTTCAAATGCAATGTATTACTTATTGAGCCGTGCCACCCACATGCATCAAACACAGAAGGAGTGTAAAGCGAATCTTCACAAGCACAGTGGTTGAACAAGTCAAAAGCTAAGCATTGCCAGGTTAGGGGGTTTTGATTTTAACGCTGGAAAGAGAATTTGTATCATGGCAATCCTACATATGCATTGATCTCAAATCAGCATGCAGACCTCTTAAATCCCTGAATTTGGCTCTAAAGTGAGTGTTGCTGCTCCATAGCAGCACTGTCCCATGGCACGGTCTGTCACAAGGGAGCACCCTAAGCACCAGCTGTCCTGTCGGAAGGGTGCATGGGACCTGGCCTCCGGGATGGAAGTACTCCGGGTACTACTGCGGTGTAATGGGGCTGAGAGGGGACAAGGGGAGTCTCAGTGACTTAAGTTTAAGATGGATGTGCTCAGCACTTCTGAACACGCAGCCTTGCAGGAGAGCTGGAGGGCTAAGTCTGACCATAGATACCCACATTGCTCAACTGACAGCACCCATGGCACAGAAGCACACATTACACCGGACAGTGCTAATGTGGGGAAGTGATTAAAGAGAAGACAATAATCATTCTGAACTCATGGTTAGACTCAGAGTATTATGAGCACGTTCCTGTTGGACTGTGCTATAACCCTCAAGCCTTGGGAGCCTATTGAGTCAGCCATAAAAGTCAAACAAATCCCTGCTGATTCAGCATCATTTCTTTCCCTCTCTTGCAGCCAACTCTCTTCTTCACCCATGCAATAAAGGCCACCCATTCCTTTTAGCAACAGACATTTGATTAGATGCTTTGAGTGAAGCTCAGCTTTAGCAAGGCCAGGTCAGAACTATAAAGCTATTTCTAATACCAGGAAATTCTTACTGGTTATGGCTGATTTTTCCAACTGCATTTCCTTCATTTTGGCACTCTCATTTGCTCACTCTTCTATTTGTTTTTTGTTTTGTTTTGTTTATTAATGTCGCATGCTAACAACTGCTTTGCTATTCCATCGTTCAAACTCAAAGACAGGTATGGTGCTGTCTTCTCTTCAGACTCTTTTCAGTGAAAAGCACCATGCAGTTTGGCTGGATTCTGGGAGCCCTTTGGCATCTGAAGGAGCTGAAAGTGATTCCCATAACGTAGGAATAACTTAACTCCTTATAGGGTCAGAAGTTGGAACCTGCACCCATTCAAGGCATTCCCACAGCTCCTACAGAGTGTCAGCTGTGCACAGTGAGGGGCTGCAAGGGCCAGGCTTTCACAGGGGGAAATGTTCAGCATTCTTAGGAACTTTGGATTCAGGCGTGGGTGCTCAGCACCTCTCAAAATCCAGCCCTGCATGACTCCTGTTTTGAAATCCAGGATAGATTTCCACACTGGCACTACCTATGAGTTTCAATATTAAGGATTATCTGAGAAATCAAGACAAAACCATATCAATTTATTTGGATTTTTATCAGCAAATAGAGCATAAGCTTTATACATTTCTGCTTCCTATTTTCACAGAGGCCTTCCCACTGAGCAATATTATGATGTCACTTAGCTGAAAAAAAGTGATGTGCATATGAATGATGAACTGTAAGTTTAAATTGTGTGTTAACCAGATTGTGAATTTAGTGAATATAACAGCAAACTGAATATTCATTCCACTCTGGTGATATTACACACGTATAATGTGAAGTGTAGATGTGATATGAATTCTAAAGGGCCACGTTCTGTGAAAAAGGATTAGCTAGTAACAAAGGAGAGGAAACACAGTTGGGAAGGAAATTCAGAATACGGCGTTGTGCCCCTTCAGTTTAGCATCTTTTCAATAAGGATCTCTGAGTTTGCTTTACAGGTTGTTCACAGGTATCAATTTGTAATAAAAATAGTAGCCTTTCTACTAGTTAGAACCCAGATTAAACTGAAGTAACTGAAGTAACTAAGACACCATGTGTATTTCAGTCCGTTTTTCTGGTGTGTATATATTTATGTGTTGTTGGAGAAGGCTTGGCAGGGACTATTTTCCTTACCGCTGCTGTTCAAGAGACACGAGGTTCAGTGAATGTGGACGCTCCTGGAGTCCTGCAATCCAACATTTTGCCACTTGGTGGCACCAGCAAAACGCTTGAATTCGATCAAACTACTGAGATTTTAGATTAAGATAATTTAAAGTGTAAATGTAAATTCTTCAAAAGCAGAAAATAAACAAGTTACACCTCTCATATTATCATTGATAACTAGAGCATATTAGAAACCCGAGAATAATTCTGTGACGATTTCTCATTTACCTTTATAGGGCTGTGAGGCACATTGACCGTACCACTCTCCCTTTAGCCTCTCTGCATGTGAGCTGCCTGCCCCCTATTTTGTGTAAACTCAGACACTCTAGAAAAGCAGGAGAGCTAATTGTCAACCTGCAACCTTGCTCTTTGTAATCCACTGCTTTTTGCAGGCCTATTCCTTTAATATCTCATTACAGCATGCAGCACAAGCAGAAGTGAGTGTGGCTACCTACAAGAGTGTACAAGCCAAAACTCCTTTTTACTGGGACAGCTATGGCCTTTGACCAGCACTGCACGTTAGAGGCATTGGCAGTGCTGCTTCTGCAGAATTTGATTACAAGCTACACGGAAGTAGAAAGTGTCTCTGCAAGTTTCTTGCTACAAGTTTCCTAAGCACTAAGTGACAAGAACCGGCCCATGCACTTCTGCAAGATAATGGAGCACTTTTAAAGTTGTTTAAAACCAACATCCATGCAAAGTAGGCATTCTCATGTTGCGCAGACAAGTCGAGTGGTTCTGTTTTATTACCTAATTCATCTCCAAGAAAACTCCATTGACTGCAGTGGAATGATGCTGGGGAACAATTTGGTCCACTGTGACTTGCTAGTCAAATAAGTCTCCTGTTATGTGACAATTACACTGGTATCCCTGAAACAGCCGAAACACAGGCAAATTGTGGAGTAAAATTAAAAACTGCACTTCACATGGGGTAGGAGGCCAGCTGTGTTTCCAGTAATTCCTAGGTTGGCCAACCTTAAAAGCTTCTTGGTTAAGACGCTCTGGGACCCATTCACTTCCATAGCAAGAGTATTCCTCATGCCGGTTGCTGACTAGAATGGATCATCTACATACATAGGCCAAGGTAGAGATCATGGCACCTTTCTGGGATTTGCTTCCTTAAAAGGAAGCATCCAGGGACTGCTGTGACTCCTTGTGCTAGCTGTATAAGGAGGAAGGAGGTTTTACGCAGGAGTAGATCAAACCCTGCCCCTGTACATGCTGAAAAGTATATGACCTTGGACTCTGAATATTTGATCAACAGCACATTGATGTACCTTCTCCATTATTTTGCACTCATATCTTAACCTGAAACATGCTGGGTCTCTAAAAATGGTCTATGCTTTGTCCTAGTTTGAGCATTTTCTTTTCCTTCAAGATTATATTTTCTTGGTCTTTGAAAGACTTTTAAATTGAAGGAAATAATATATCCTTTAAAACAAAAAGCGAAACACACACACAAAAAAATCTTTCACGTTCATAGTCCAAGGTCTTTCAGAGCAAATATTCTTCCTGTTGTCAGGGGCTATTAAGAGGTGACAGCCACATAGAACCTTTCCTGAAAAATACCCTCCGAGTGGTGCTCTGCAGGGCTATCTGGGAGTTATTAACACTCAGTTTATTTATCTTATAGCCTGTGAGGGCTCCTTTGGGCCATTACTGTCTTTTGTGGGAAATGAATTACCAGGTATTTGCAATAACTCTGTACACTTTCATGGAACAACTATGTCTTTGCCTTAAGCATGTACACTATGTATCCTCGTGTAGTTCTGCACTAGAATGAATCACCGCTAGAAGGAATTTGTGCAGATGTGCTTCTGTTAGTGTATTAGCAGCGGGCCACATACATATGCCCTCCTAGTAAAACGTGCTAGAGAAAAGTAGTTGTCTCCTCCCTTCTAAAGGTGTCATGAGTCCTCAAGTCCACATCAAACAAGACTGCAAAGATTGTGAAAGGCCTGGAAAAACACCCGTCAGCCATCGCCAAGAATCCTCATTATACACGCATAAACACTACCTCAGGCTAGAGCGTTTGCAGCTGTCCTTCCACAGACAAGTCACACCTAAGAGGTTTTCAGTGGGTTTAGTGACAGCACAGAATGAATGAAAACTGGCTTTTTTCCATGTGGATTTTAATCTGTTTTCACTATTTATCACACAGCACTCACATTCCTCTGGCTGTCCCTCAGCTCCTCAACCTCTGGTGGTTTCCTGACCTGCAGCTCCCTGACCCAGCAGGTTTTAAGGTTAGGCAAGATAAGTGATCACCTCCCTTTGCAAGAATAAAAGGCTGCAGAGAAAGGCCCTTTACACATGTGAAACATTTTATTCTTGAGTCATAATTTCCTTCCTGGTAAAACTGGCAAGAGTGACACATCTTATTCTCTTAATAACTTACTGAGTACGTAGAAAAGTAACAGGAAAAAGCAGCAAAAAGTTCTGTAGCCGGATCTAGAAAGAAGCTGAAGGTCGTGAGGCTCCCCACGCTGCATCTCTTTCAGGCCAACGTCACACCTGAGAGAAGAAACAGATCTTCAGAGGCTCCTACCATGCGTCAAAGAGTGGAAAAATAGCAGTAAGTGGGAGCCCCTCATGAAGGGTTCCAATGTGTCTTTTATTATCATTACTGAACAAGTGTGTCTCTGCACTACATCAGGAGGGGAGCTGCGGAACTACCGCAGGCAAAGCCAATGTCTCAGTGTCTGCGTAAGGATACTCACTCTCACATAAAACTTGGTTTATGCCTATTTTCTTGAAAAGTGTTTGAAGAATGCCCACAGTGCACTCATTGCTAGGGAAATGGGATGGTGTCCATCTGGACCACTCCCTGCATTTGTTCTGGGGCTTTCCAAACTGGGAGCATAAGTCCCTCCAGCTTGAGTCTGACTTCTTTTCAAGAGACTGATAGACTCCATATCCTCTGTGGACTGAACAAAAAGGTGCAGATAACATAATACTGAGCAACTGTTTCTTGTGTGATACTGGCAGACTCCAGCAAAAGTCTACTAGAACTCCAGTGAAAGCATCTCAGTGCCAAATTTGGAAAAGCTACTACTCCCTTCTTCCTTTCCAGCCAGAGCTGTACCTTTCTGTACTGCCATCCATTCTGGGTAGCTTCAGGCTTGATTACTCAGTTTGAGTTTTAAAAAACATAAGCAACACTCTAAACAACTGTCCATCTTTGAAAATGGAAAGCTTTGCTGGCTATCACTACCTGAGCTCACAAAGCTTCTCTAAATCATGATAGAGTCATGAAAATTCATATTCATCCTTATTTTATTGCTGCCTTGAGTTTAGATGTTATAAAGAAAAGTGCTCTACAAAGGTACTTAAGTAGTTCTGCCTTGGCAGAGCACAAAGCAGACTGATCATCTTTATTTATGCATATTCGTATCAGGAATATGTCCAATTAATTCAATGAAGAATGTAACAATTCACACTGTAACACAATGTGAATGAAAATAGAAATGGAAAACACTTCTTAGTATTTCTTTTCCATTTAGGCTTTCAATTTAAAAGAAACACTAACAAATATTCTCCTTCATGTCTACAGCACAAGTAGACATACAGCACCAGTTCTAACTGTAGAAATGGAAAATCAATTAGAAGTATCTGTGGAATAAAATTCTAAAGACTGCTGTTCTATAAGTATGTTTATTTCTGTAAAAGCTTTCAAATTTCAAGACAGACACAAAGCTTCAATCACAGTCCCAGGTTGTTATAAATGCAACAATATAGAAATGGTTGTCAGAATCTAACACTTTGTTTAGGTCCTGTTATCTTTGTAGCATCACACATTAAAAGTAGATCTTTTGTTCAGCTTGGTTGAAGCATGAGTTATGCTGGCATGGTAATTTGTGAGATATCACACCTCTTGTTAACTGCACTGAGTCCTATAGCACCACAGCACAGATTTCACACTGAAACGCATGACTTCTACATGTTGTATCAGAACGTGTGAACAAAACTGATCTGGCACTTGAACCTTATCTTTGAAACATCTACGTCGAGTATGGAAAGAAATAAGCGCAAGACTATTTAAATTCTTTGAGTAAGGAAGCATATTTCCTCTTTGTAACTGTGCCACACTTATTTTTACAGAGACTAATTTAATGATGGAGTGGCCAAGTTGCAGCTCTTGAGTCATGGGTGACTTGAGGAGAGCTTGGGTGCTGCTCCCATGCCACTGTTATGCCATTAACCAGGCTACTGAGTAATCCCCAGCTGTGGGAGGAAGAGTGTTCCCACAGGAACTGCTAAGGCTGAAAAGATGGAGTCCTTGTGAGTTCTATTAACATCCCACACAGTTCTGTCCTCAAACTGAGCAAGGGGAGGAGCCTTGAGAAGTTATCATCATCTCCTGTTTGGGAATGAATCTGGAACATCTCTCTCCTCACTGAGAAAAACAAGGGGTTTTAGCAATATCAAGATTTTGGTACATGGCTTGCAGAATCAAAAGACTGTGTGATCACTGTACAAATAATAAAGCTTAAAAAAAGACCATCAGCAGACAACTTCTCCTACCCATAAACAGTAAAGATCCTTTCAAGCAAGAAGTGGTACATAAGCCTTTCTCATGAAATAAGGCACAAGATTTTGGAGCTCCAGGTGAACCACTTAGATTAGTCCAGTAATACTGTATTTCAGGCATTTTAAATTTTTTTTTTTCATTATACCACAAAGAACCATTAAGCAAACTATTTTTTTAATCTTAGATATTCTTCTGACTTGGTATAATTGCCAAGAGACTCTTAGCTAGACTCTAAATGATGAAAGTGACTAGTGATGAAATTATTGCCCTTTAGTGTTTTCCTTCGATTCCTTTAAAAAAAAAAATATTTGAAGCATAAAATAAGTCTCCATAGTAAAATATAAATAATTTATCAGCATGGAATGAACAAGTATTTTGTCTGCAAGTATAAACAGGATGTGGGTTTTTTTTGCATGACTGATAAAAGGATTTATTTCTACTAATAGCACATACCATTGTTAATTAATATAGAGCTTATTACACAAAAGTGTAAGAGGCTACATTTTTTTCCTCACTCCTTTTAAAAAGACATTCTGCACATCACTTGTTCAAGGTGTCTTTTCACTCTTTGTCACCTGGCAACACAAAACATTCCTCATGTAAGGAGTGGTATCAGTAAGAATATTGTCTGCGCTGCTTACACATTGATTTGTCCCTAACGTATATTGATTGTACTGATCCAGATAAAGCGTGGGAGGTGCAAATGAACATGGGCCACTTGAGGTAATGTATTTATTATTTTTCTTTCCTAATATAGGCTTCATAAACCATCAGACAGTTTGACTAAGTAAGTACCTTTCACCAATATTGTATCTTTATCTTATCTTTCCTTAATGAAGTAAAAAGGCAAGTTGTTCCTCTTACAGCCATAATTGCACACAGTGCAGGTTCCTTGGCAATAAGCAGCAGCAACCCCAGCAGGCAAAAAACCTCTCTCTCGAATGAAGCATGCAATGATAGGTTTAGCAGGTTAGCAGTGTTTGCCTAGCACACCCTTCTCCTAACAAATACTGATTTCCTGACTTGCCTATGGGATAACTGGCTTTTCCTGACTGTGCTGCTCATGGCCTCTTTACCTAATATGAATTAAACTGTTTGGGAGCATCTGCCAAGCCCAGCTAAGGGATCTAGAGTATGTATAAAGCAGTATAAAGCCTCGGAAAAGCCCAGCTTGGTAAGACATCTTGTTATGTCATGAGGCACAGCCTCATGGAACGGGGATGGATTTGGCTCCTGTGTAAGGCTGTTACTTTGCTTTACACAGCAATTGGGGAAAGGTGTTTACTCTCAGTAAGCTGCTGTATGCAATTGTGGTAAAGTTTAGAAGAATCCAAACAGGGTGCTAATCTCTCTTACTGCAATAAACTGCTGCTTACATTTTCCTCAGAAGATACCAGGATTCCCCTGATTTTAGTAAGTTTTTTAATTATTCTATTATGAAAAACTGAAAGCTGAGAAGAACAGCCACAGGAACACGGGCATTCCATGAAATCTCAGTTCTCAGTATCCCATAAAATTCTCCAGTTTAGCTTTATCCTCCTTCCTCCCAGAAATAAATGTCTTCTTAGTGGCAAATTTTGATTTCACAAGCACAAACTCAGTTACTACCAATTGGAGCTGACAAGTATCAGAAGTCCACATTTTTCTTCCTTTAATCCACATAAAAGTAAATGTGAATTGGTATGACTGACTATGTACAAAAGCTGCAAGGTAATCATCACTGTGAGTTCTTTACAGGGTGCAAGCAAGAAGGGATTAAAGAACTAATATACTGCCTTTCTGATTTTCACATCTCTCCCACTTCTTGCAAAGTGTTATATTTAATGCTAAAACTCTGCAAAATGTGAAATAAGGAAATTTTCTTTCTTTCTGTCCTTCTTCCTGACAACTCAAGAGCACTGTGCCTGCCATTTCCCACCTCTCATCCCTACCAGACACACATCCTTAGGTACACCATGTTCCCAAACTTCACATCACCTGAGGATTGAGACACCGGGATCGATGCAAGCAGTCATCAGCCTTTCCATCCCAATATCCCTACCAAGGCTTTTGATGTGGTTGTTCTGAGGAAGACCAGAGGTAAGACAGCACTCTGTTGGTTTACCATTTATTCTTGAAACTCACTTAGAAACACTCCTGAAGTCATTACTGTTTTCTACTGAAGCTTAACAGAGCCAGAATTTGAATATATCAGTGGTCAAGCTAAGCATTTTGGCTTAAATTGGAGCTCTATGTGCTGATAGTTGCAGTCTCCATGGAGAGGATACCTCAGCACTGAGAATGATGATCACCTCCATAAACCGATGAGGAGTCCTTGGCAGCTGCTGACCACACAGGATTATGGGGAATTTGGGACAGAAGAAAGCCAGCACCTCTGTGTGCCATGGCAGTGCTTGCCTGGAAGGGTTTGCCAATAACTGCGTGAAACAGAAAAAGTGTACTCTAGCATGGATAAGAACCTTTTCAGCAGAGTAAAAGCTGATAAGGTGAAGCAGGAGGTCAATTTGCATTATCTGCCATTCCCAGTCATCAGCACAGCGCTGTACTGTTATCTATCTAATTGTGTACATGAGCCATTTTTAGTGGAGTATTTGTCCATCCAAATCCAAAATCTTTCTGTAGAATATGTAATGCTAGGAGTACTTGGTTTTAGCCAGTTTTCATGGATCACTGGTCAATTTAAGAAACACTAATCATGTGTGGAGGTGGGCTTACAAAGCCTATTTTTGCACAACAGGAGGATCATCGGAGGCCAAGACCTATTTCCAGCAAAGCTTAGCAGGTTCAGAATTACTAGCTAGGGGGGCAGCTACCACTGGCACTTAGAAAATCCTTTAACTCCATTTGCTGTTCCCTCCATACAGTTTGACTTCCTCTGAGATCAGGACGCTCCAGTTCTCAGTGACTGAAGGAGAAATCTCTGGTTAAGCACAGAGAACCCAGATCGCACTCAGGTGACTTTTACCACTGGAAGGTTTTATTTAAAAGCTTTGTGCCTTTTCTATATCTCACCTTTAGAAAACTCAGAGTAGCTATTACGTAGTTAATGTTAACAGCATCATTATGAGGTAAAGAGAGAAACTGAGGCAGAAAGATTGAAGAGAAAAAGCAGTGGTAGAACCAGGGTTGGAAATCAAGCTCTTCCAAGCACACACTGCAGTTTCATTTTTCCTCTGATGCTGACATTATGAGTACAGAACCAGCTTCAAAATTCATCAAGCTTCATTGTTTGTTGTTGCTGTTTGAAAAATCACGCACAGAAAATGCAATAAGAATCTTCCCTGCTGGTGTGTGAGTCAATCCAGAGCTCCTGCAGTTGACCAAGGGCTGATGGCCTTCTGTAGAGGCAGCTTTATCTGGTATAAGATCCAGTCTTCAACTGCTTGTCACCACCTTTCTGCCTGAGACAACTAGCCTTGCAGATCTGGTGGTGCAGATAATTATATTGAGTGCTTCCAAAAAGACAGCAGGTTAACTTATGCTGATTAAACGGGTGATCTGACCTAACCCTGCTGATTTTGTACCAAAAGAGTGAAGATGAGTTCTGTCTGTAGATCCATGAGGTCAGTCTCCCAAGGTAGAAGAGACACTAGCAGCAGCTCACAGAAAGAATCTCTTCCACCAGCATAGCTGTCTTTATAGTGAGCATATGTCTGCAGCTTAAAATATAGATCCATCTGATATTCTGATCAATGGTGTTCCACTAGAACAGGTTAAATATTTCCCCTGTAGGTAATCCATATAAGCATAAAGTTGTCAGTATTCCCCCTGACTCCCAGAAGGTAGCTGTGCACTGTCTGGGACAGCACACATACTTCCAAGTACATAGTTCACACAGAAAAGAACAAAATGCCTTTTTTTTTTTTTTTTTTAACTAAACTTCTCTGCATCTCTTTCATGGGAGACATTTTTACACAGAGAGCTGCTGTACTGTTCCAAACACTTGCAGACCATGAATTAGGCATCACGCACACAAAGAGTGAAAAGCTTTAGAGACAGTTTTCAGCCACCTCAGCAATATATAAACAAGATCAGAAGCTAGCAGGCTGTCCTGTGACTGAAGTCCTTTAAGTACTAACTAGTTCTTGTAGGACCTAGTCAAGTAGCTCTGGAGGGAAGAAGAAGAAGAAGAAGAAGAAGAAGAAGAAGCAGCAATAATAGCTGCTGACCACATGTTTGTGGGAGGGAGAGGGAGGGGCTTCATTCAGAAGCCCAGATTACACTCTGTAGCCCTTTAAAGAATTAGGTTTGGGCAATAGTAGATCTTTGCTGCTCCTTACCTTTCCACAAGTCCTGCCAACATACTGACTGGCTGGTGTCTCTATTTCCATGTCTACAAGAAAACAGACATACTCTTTGTGGACAGTCTTTGACTACAACCATGGTGTACTGATGGAGAATGGGCTTGCCCACAAAACAGAAGGGCAAATTTGTTCATGAACGATAACAATTCAGCTATTCTTCAGCTTGGCTAAACACTAGTTCCCTTCCCAAAAGGATGTAGCCTGAAGTTTGATGACAGGTAAAAGTCATTAATAGTGTAGGAAAAAATAGCAGTGAACAAAGAAAGATACAGTCTTTGTAGACACACAGTCTTATGGATGTGGCAAGGGAAACAATACGTGGCAGTCCATTTTAAGGCAGTCTATAATCATGACTACAAGAGAAAGCTTATAGCACATCATGTTCTGCCTACCATGTGTGGCTACCATGGAGAACTTGATTCCAAGTTATTTGAATTGAGTTCAGCTGAATTATGTACCTGTTGCATCTTCCACTTGAGTATTATTACCGCACTGAAGACATTTTTCCACAACATTTTTATTTTTATTAGCATTTACTAAACAGATAACTGGGGGAGAGCGACACCACATGTGTTACTTCAAACCTTTAAAATAGTATTTTCCATCCCACACACATATTTGGTTTATTCCTTACCTATTTCTTCTTCTCTTTCACCGTTCTAAGTCTGCTGAAAAAAAGGGTCAAATAAACTATCCAAATCCACCAAAGATAGTGGCCTCCAACTCCCCTTTTAAAGAGCTAGAACATAACTTCTCACCAAGAAAAACCAATATGCTACTTAAAGGGCTCTGGGGATCACAACATGTAGTCGGGACTTCATGAGTAAGCATTTTTTGTTAAATTAATTTACTTGGGATAGCAAAGACCACAAAGTGTTAGCCCCTAAATTTCTCAAAGAAATTTAATTTCTGTGGTGTAGCAACAAAGGCCACACAAACTGTAAATTCAGGGGAACTGTGCATTAATTCTGATTTTCCTAATCAATAAAAATGTGTGAAAATAAAATATGTCTCCACTAAGGAAGAGGTCCTGTGAATCCCCTTACCCTGGATAACTACTACAGGAAAGCAGTTGGCAGATTAACTGGAGAACTAGGCAAAGATGTGGAAATAGTAAGTACTGCATTTACTACGAATCTCATGCTTCCACCACAAGTAATACTGGCAAGAGTATTACCAGATTCAGCTAGCAGGACTAAGCCTTCCCTTTGATAATACTTAAGCACAGGGCAAGGCTCACTCTAAAACAGAGGCAAAAGTTCAGTAAACTAAATCAGTCCAGACACAGCTGGTTAACAGAACTTCTGTAATGGATTAATGACTTGTTCAGGGTTTGCAGGGAGATGAAGTTATTGTGATTATCTGCTTGGTTTTTATCTTATAATTTTGGGGGTTTATCTTATCATTTAGAGTTGCCACCAACACATGACATTAATTCAAATGACCTTTTGCCTTGAGAAGTATGAGCAACAGTTTCCATAAAGCAAGTTGGCAGCTCTCATGTGGATGGTGCAGCACCGGAGAGACTGAAACATACAGATATTCAGCTGGGGTTAATCAGGACAATCCCACTGAACTCATCGACTTACTATCTTTATTGCACATTGTGTATTTGACAAATGACCTATTACCATTGCAGACTATTGACTCCTTACTAACTATACCAGTTTCAGTTTGGCAGAGCTTCTATGATTCATCCTCCTCCATTTGCATGAGTGATTTGTCTTTCTTCCTTAAGGATGCATCAGCAACATTATCAGATTCTATTTTAATGCAAAGATTTACTCTAAAGAATGTATAAAACTATATTGGAAAAGTCCATGTTTATTCTCTTTAACAATTTTTATATTCTGTGTGGCCTATATAAAAGTGAAAAGATACTATTTGTATTAAACACAACTCATGCAAACGAATCCTAAGGTGGTATATAAGCATAGCAAATAAAGTTGAGCTGCTTTTTGCTAATGCATCATTACCTGTAAAGGCTTAAGCCATTCACTGACACCTACACATTGTCATGCAGAGTACATACTCGAGTCTAATTCATTCTGACTAAGCAATTCTGCAGGTAAGACAGAAGGGCTGGATTCCAGTTCACTCTTCCACAGCACTACTGGCTTTACACCACTTCAGGGTTCAAACTGCACAGACATACAAGCAGCAGAGCAACTAAGATGCTGTCATTTTATTACAGTTCAAAAATGGCCCTGGATAAAAAGTCCCAAAATTGTCCTGCTTTTTTTCTACTGGGTTAAAAAAAAAAAAAAATATCTAAGTAAGGAAATCCCTTCTGAAATGGCATTTACAATTTTCTTATAATTGAATCCCTGTATCTGAAATGGAAAAGCCATCCAGCTTTTTCTCCATTGCAATGAAGAAACAAATGTTTCACTTTATGATGATGAATGCTTTAAAGAACAGTTTCAACAGCTGGTCTCTGGAAATGAAAATCCAAACTAGCAGCTTACGTTAATTCAAAACTCAGCAGTTTTATTGCCCTCTGGCTTCCAAAGTGTGATTGGCAGAGGCCTACCTGGGCCATGCTAATTTATCTGAACATTATTCCACTTAAAACACACATATCTTAAACATCAAACACTCAGGTTGTTCAGCACAGTAACTGCTGAAGTCCATTCTTTGGCTATAGGACTCAAATGTACTTTATGTTTGAACAGTTCTTACACAATGCAGCTTTGACTCTGCACCAGTATCAGAAGCCTCAGCAATACAAATGATTAAAACAGGGTAATAGTATTTAAGCAGTGTCTCAGACTGTAGTTGAGAGAGCTAAAAATTCACATGCCAGTGAGCATCCTCGGTCCTACTTGCAAAAGCTCCTAAAAGAATTTAAAAACACACTAATGCAAGTCACCGTTTATACTATCATACTGCTTACAAGACCACAAATGGAAGACAGATGCTTACAGAAAAAAAGGAGAAGAGAGCACAAGACATCTCTACCCATTTATATCTTATGCACTGGGGTGGAGCAGAATATTTTCTTTTCCAAAGCATAAAGACCCCCAGGTGGCAAGGCAGTAATAAATGTCTGGGCTGCTTCCCTTTGCCTGGGAGACCCCTAACTAGTCTCAGACAATGGTCTGCTAAAATAAGCAGTCCTTACTAAAATGAGAGACTTAGACAACAGTGTAAATCCTGCTTCTTCCTCCATATAGAAAGAAGCATTTCTGCCCAGTATTTTACATGTGAGACCTCTTGAAGGGCGTACTGCTGTTGTAGCCAGCTACTCAGACACAAGGCTGAGTAAAATAAAAACAGCAGCCAGCCTAGGTCAGCAGCATAAGTGACAGAAAGCTACAGAAAACATGTCATCTGTTATTAGGAGTTAGCTCTAGATGGCTGCAAATGGTCAATACAGTAGCTAAGGATTAATAGCAGACACTAACTTGGTGGTTATCAAAATAGTTAAGAGCAAGAGCTAGGGAAAGAACAGCTCTGCTGCTGTGTTGTGCTTACTAAACTGTCTAGAATTCCTGAAAAGTGTGAGCAAAAGCCAACCAAACAAAAAAGTCCCCAAATGCAATATGTTTAAACATCTTAAATAATTTTTAAAGCCCTCTGAAAATAAGAAATCAGGAAAGGAAACTTTAGTGGAAAGTTATCTTAGGGATTAGCAACTGGCTTTCCAAAAAAGATGCAAAGAATAAGCTTAAATTGATGCTTTCTGTGTGCTGACAGATTAATATTGCAGGTACCCAGACTTCAGGAATATAGATAATATTGGTTCAATGAATATTTTAAGGGGCTGCAGCCAAGTGGGAATTAGAGAAGCAGAAATAGCACATGGGCATTCATTGGTTTTTTTTAACTGCTTAATTAAATGAGGGATTATTCAGTTGTTTCCCAGACAGCACCAGAAGAGGGAGCAAAATGACATTGTATTTTTCATTTAGAGTTTTTTTCACTGTAGTCTTCTATGCTGTCCCATTAAAAGATCAGATATATTCCTCTCTCCCTTCAAGCAAATTACCAGAGTTCAGGAGACTGACAGGATCATACACTGAATATACGGCTCAAACAGAACCATGCTTCCAGCTAGTCATTACCCACTACACTTTCCTTTACAGGAAGACACATTAGCAAAGAATCATGGCAGAAATGTAAATTCCTGATTACTTTATTTGTGTGTGAGATCTTCAGGAGGCCAGTGAGGACACAATGCCTCAGCAGTGCACTATTTACTGTGCGAGTATTCAGAGCACAAAGGGCTCAGTGGCTACCAAGAGGATATAAGGAAAATGATGTGACAGGAGTCAGAGAGCTTACTTTCCCTTAGGAGAGGATACTCACTTTCTATCCCACTTTTATACATCTCGGAAACAATCAGACTTCTGGTTCTTAAAACTGAGATGAATAATGTATTTATAAGGACATAAGAAGAGTACAGGAGAGTATCTAGAGGATTTAGTACAAAAGTAACTGCGCAGCATAATAACAGATGAAAGTGAAGTATGAACATACTGCAAAGAACTGTTGAAGACAATTCAGCTACAAATGGGTTTTAAAATAGTTGTTACCTCCTGGAGGAATGATTTCAAAATAAATGCAGGCTGCTGCCTTTTGCTCTGCCTCTAGCACCACTCAGGGGAGATTAATATTAAGCTGCAGAGAAGACAGAATATTATGTTATTTCATAATCCTTGTCTATCTTGCATTTAGTTTGTTCAGAACATTTCGTAAGTAACAAAAAGCAAAAAAGTCTGGAAAAGAACAACAATTATTAAAACCAGGGGATTAGCTGTGCCCCAAGAAAGATACGTGAAAACTGAACTTGTTGTTTCTGGGTAAAAAAGAAAAACAAAACCAAACCAGTTAAACAAAAAAAAAACCCACACACAAACAAGCAAAAAAACCCTCCAAAACTGTAAGCTACAACTTAGCAATGAGTACATAACATATTTACTACAGAAAAGTTTCATCAGTCATTTGTATCATGTATCTGTAAGCCACTGAACGAAAAAGCTCTGAGACTGTTTTTTCAAATTCATCAGACAAAAGAAGAAACTTAAAAGTACGCTTTAATTTACTTGTTTAGTTTTCTGCTTGGAATATGATGAAGACAAAGAGTTTAATATCATTAAAAAAAAAGGCTTAGAGGCATATTCTAGGAGTATAAGAAAAACATCTGCAATGTTAGTAGTTTGGATTAAGTGTTCTCATTGCTCTGAGACTTCATGCTTTAGTATAATAAGCTTATCCTGGGCAGTTTTTAGTGTCCACAAAAGTATCCAACATTGATCTCTGTCAAAACCAGTGCTAAACATTTATCTGCTCTGATATAATACTTGACTTGTTCCTAAAGTCATATGTAAAAGCAAGAAGACAATGAAGTTGGGATATTACAACCTGATTCTAAAACTACCAGCAAGGCGATTACTTGGTTACAAAAGCCTTGAAAACTTGACACAACTGGCAGCAAAACTAGCACAAGATCTCTGCAGGGAGGAATCCCACCTCTCCACTGACAGAAACATCCCATGGGTGCTACCACCTGCAGCAGTGATTTCCTCTCAATGAAGAAGATGGTTTGTAGTTCTATAAATCATAAACATGTTGTCTTGTGACTTGGTCAGGCTTCACATTCAACAGCTCCTCCTGCTGCTATACACAGAGCCCTCATAGCCCCCCAGAGAACTGGGTATACACTTAAAAGCATTAAGCCTGCCATAGCATGCCAGTTTTATTTCTATGGGAGAATAGAGCTATATTTGCCAGTTTATGGCCTTATTTCTACTTATGTTATAAATGGTTTCTCCTTTTAAAATCCTAAGGTAAGAAAAGCTTTTATTTTTTAAGAATCTCATCTGAATCATGAGGCCATGCTATTGCTCTTCTTTCATGAAAGGTCCTCCTGTCTGGCCTATAGTTTAAATACAAGAACGGTGTAGGCTTTAGTAGATTACATTAGATTAGCATATCATCATTACGTAAGGAGACTCAACCATATAAATCTCCTTACAAAAGGAGTCTTAATTTGGAGCTTTTCTCAGGGCTAAGTTGATGCTTTGGAGACTAATTGGACAATATCTTCATTTAAGCAGCTGCAGAAGTACTTCTTACTCTCTAGGTTGGATTATTCAGAAGATAATGTCCCAGTTGATCATGTAAATGAGAGGACAGTAATCGTTGGGTCCCACAGATACACAAAGCAAATGTATTATCAATGTAGGCAATTGTCATCCTCGCCAAACAGGATATGGCTGAAACTCTTCCAACTGATTCATTATGAAGAAAAATAATTTTTTAAAAAATTGAAAATGCGGTAGCTTTGAGCAATTACTTGCCACCTAAAAATAGAAATTGAGGCCAATAGAAATTACTGTTCTTGTAGCATGTTTTTTTGTCAGATGGAATCAGACTCTCAGACAAGGCTTAAGGACATTTATTATACCTCTATTGTTTTAGGCTTTCCAGTAAACCGTGGCAGACTCTGCAATAGCATAGGACTAGCTTTAAAGTTAAAAACATAATGGACTTAATAAAAGGACATATTTTTGTCTTTCAATTCTTGAGCCCTTGAAGTTAATTTTAAGGTTCTTTTCCAAAAGCAACAAAATCATATTTTTAAGAAAAACTGAACTTCTGACAAATTGCTAGGTCCTTTGAATCTTTCAAATACGAATCTCCTTGCGAGTTAACTTAATTAACTTTGGTCTTGAGTCCAAAAATTTTCTGTTTTTAAATAACTATCTTGAATCACCTATCTTTTTAGCCTACTTTCACTACGGGAACTGGTTTATAAGGATTCAGAATGTGTTTTCTAATACTAAAACAGAAGCAGATGCAGTCCCATCTTAGGACAACTCTTGCGTTTGGAAGTCCTTTCTTGCTCTTCCATGCTTCATTGCAAATTAACTGACTTTATGCACTTATGTTTTGTACTCACTACTCCTTCATACTCATCCAAACAAGATGCCCCTTTTGTGTTACTTGCCTCAAAGCATGTACTGATTACAGAGAAGCTGTATCTCACACTTCTGTCTGTCTTATACTGAGGCCCAAGGCCTCATTATACTCTTCCAGGAGTCTACAGATAACTAGACATCTATCAGTTCACAAGCAGTTACTGGAACAAATGCTTGAGCAGGGTAGTCCAGTATCTCAACACAGAAGAGACAGGCACTGAGTCAATGTTCTCAGCTGGAGGTCTGCATTTGCTTTAAGTTGAAGAAGAGCGACTCTGAACTCTGGATCTTCTTAATCCACCCAGCTCCCCACAAGCCAGATGCTGGAAACGACAGAGATCTCTGCCTACACCATTCTTGGGGACACTTCACCATAAAATAAATGGCTACCAAATCAATCTCCACACCTGTGACATAAATCCACAGCACCAAAGAATGGACAAGTACTTTGGTATTTTCACAGCTGTTAAACTCAGCAGTAAATTTATCACTCTGTAAGTCATGGCATTATAATGATTGTGCGACTGATTCAGCTGCAAAATATTCTGGCAATCTTCCAGCTGCCCGCTCTGCTTCGCACGCTGGCTGGATTGGCTGGTGTCTCTCTACCTGTGTGACCCGTCACTTTCGTGATAGCTCACCGCAATGGTGAGCAGCACTGCCTCACCCTGAGCCTAACTGGAGTCTACAACAGTCTGGCTGGGAAATCCTCAGCCTCTCTGTCCACCTGAAACCTCTCATAGTAGAATATCCCTTATATCCCCTAGTGCCAAGCAGTTGCATCCACAGCCCTACAACACTCATTCTCCAAAACCACAGGAACAGCAGATACCGAAATAAATCGAAGTTCTGCCTTCATGTACTACGATCAAATCCTTCAGCTGCCAATCTGCACCCTGGGGTGCAGAAAATATTTCTATATCCCACTCCTAAATATTTTATATTCATAGCATAGGCATGTGACAATACAGCAGCGGTTCTTTCTAATTTAAGAAGAGCTTTTTTCTTTTAAAAATGCTATCCAGATACTCAGTTTATTATAATACTTGTCACTAAAAAAAAATTTAAAAAATCACAATGTTGTTTGAGATGACTGCACAAAGCATAAATACACTGCCACAAGAAAAGACTATAAACAGAGCTTAAAATAAAACCAAGACTTGCTTGATAAAAATGCTACACAAAAGTAGATGCTATGCACAAATTTAGCTTTGTCTTAAGAAGGAGCCTACTATGTAATGACCCTTTGCAACTGCAGCATCTCAGAGGCTCTACCTTTCCAGCTGTTCCAAACAATAGCACATTCTCTGTCTTGGACTGTGGAAAACACAGCAAGCAGCAAAGACTAGAGGTACACCATTCATCAGGCATTTTCATTCACT